ACATCTGCTCTGGAGAACAGTTTAGTGGTTTCTTTCTTTTTTTTTTTTTTAAAGATTTCATTTATTTATTTGACAGAAAGAGACACAGCAAGAGAGGAAACACAAGCAGGGGGAATGGGAGAGGGAGAAGCAGACTTCCTGCTGAGCAGGGAGCCCGATGCGGGGCTCGATCCCAGGACCCTGGGACCATGACCTGAGCCGAAGGCAGACGTTTAACGACTGAGCCACCCAGGCGCCCCAGTTTAGTGGTTTCTTATGAAGTTAGACAAATGACTTACCACATATCCCAGCAATTCCATTCCTGGATATTTGCCCAAGAGAAATTAAAGCATACATTCACATAAAACTTGTACGTGAATATTATGATAGCTTTATTAACAGTTGTCAAAAACTGGAAACAACCAACATGTCCTTTAATATGTGGATAATCAGTGGTACATCCATGCAGTGGAATACTACTCAGCAATAAAAATGATTGAACTATTGATTCATGTATCAACATGGATAAACTATGAATGCAGTTTCTAAAAATGCTAAAGCCTGAGAAAAATGTAGCTCCAAACCTGTAATAACTCCTTGTTGCACACAGAACAAAATCAAAGCCTTACAGTGCTTATCTCTACTCCCACTAGAATATAAACTCCATAGGTGCAATGATATTTATGTTTGTTCATTTATATTTGTTGACTGAAGAAAGTAGATATTAATACTACTGGTTTGCAGATGAGGAAACATATCAAAAGTTAAGTTACTTCGTAATATAAAAACAGAATTTGAGCACAAGTCTTTCCAACTCCTACACTTTTCCTTGCCATCACACTGCTTACCAGTACCTTTGGCTTAGCATAGTTTCAAAACTAACCCATGGTCCTCAAGTCTGACCTCCATGTTACAGTCAACTGGGAGGTTTTTTAAATTCTCTTTCTGGCCTTTTGGTCCTTAGACCAGGTGAAATCACCTCTCCAGGTGATTCTGGTGCCTAGTGACAAATGAAAATAACTACAGATTAATAGTGCTTGTTGAATTAGTGAATGAACAGAGTTGATAGCTTAACATATGACTTGCCCACGTTTTTTGTCTGCTGTGTGTATTGACTTTTCCTGGCTTTTTTCTTCTGTCCTTATTTCTTGTTTATTTTTTAATTTTTACCTTACCCTTTGAAAATTCTCTTAGAGTCTGTTTTTAAACCATCCTCTCCTCTAAGTATTATTGTGATAATAATTAAACATTTCTGTGGATGTAGAGAGTTCTGGAATCTTCTTCCTTGAGGTACATCTCCCTGATTTCAACCTAGAGTGGAGTGGGCTTGGGACTTGACTGGTTGAATGAACTTTCTGCTTGTTTCTATTCTGGCTAAAGAGACCTTTAGTTGTAGAATTACAATTGTTATTCTTATCAGTAGTGCAGACAGTTGCAGAAGGATGAATTAGAAGTAGATGGTCAATGTGTGTAATGGGTTTTCTTCTAGGTAGGTGAAGAATGGGAACCAATTATTTCATTTAAGGCAACAACTTCAATCCATAATTATGACTTTAAAAATAATTTACTTCTGTGGAAACAGAGAAGCTAAGAGCAAGTTATTTCTGAAGAATTTTATATTCTATAAAAGATTTCTGGTAGTAGTTTATTAATTTAGGTGCACTTGAAGTTTTGTTGCAGATTATTAACCTGTGAAAAGGGAAGCTGAGAGACAATGATTTAAAGCAAGAGTTACAGAGCCCTTCACAATTAAAAGTTAATCAGAAATTAGGGAAAGCTTTCTAGAGTCCATTGATAAGATACATTTTTCTTACTTTTTTCATTAAGTGACTTATCAAGTGCTGTATTTTACCACTGAAAAATGATGAATTTTTGCCTAGATTTTCCTGTAAAACTTAAAAGCCCCAAATAAGGAATTATTTTCACCTCTTTGATAACCCTTCACCTGCCTCATGAAGAGAGAGATTTATCTTAAGTTGGGGAAATAATACTTAAGAATTTGATGCAAAGAGGGAACAGTCACTTCAGGTTATACTAGCTGTGGCTATGAATAAGTTAAAAGACACATCTGGCAAATTTCTAGATAAGACTTGTAAGAATAATCTGAGGGAATGGACCTGTGACTTTTAAATGATGCATTTCCTGCTAACTTTCAGGTTTTATTGAACTCAGATTTTAAAAATGAAACAGACTTGAGAACCACAAAAAGGTTTCTAGATGCCATTATGCTTTTTACCATGAGTGACAGTAATGATTAATGCACATTTAGAGTATTATTGATTTTTTAAAAAGATTTTATCTATTTGTGAGAGAGAGCACGTGCATGCGAGAGAGAGCACAAGCATCAGTCAGAGGGAGAAGGAGGCTCCCTGCTGAGCAGAGAGCCTGATGCAGGACTCCATCCAAGGATCTTGGGATCATGACCTGAGCCAAAGGCAGACACTTATCCGACTGAGCCACCCAGGTGCCCCAGAGTATTTTTTTTTTTTAAGTATCTTGTTATTTAAAATAAATACCCCAAGATAGCATTGATTTCTTAGATATTTCTTTTTTCACATCTTGGATAGAATTTACTTTTCTTATAGAACATTTGCTAAAGTATAATGTAAATCAAAGAAAATGTGGTGTTTATTAATCTATCCAAACTCCAAAAATGTTTATAATTTGAGCTACATTCTAACAGGGAAGAAAGATAAGACCAAACAACTATAAGTTTTCATATCCTGAGGAAAGACCTTTTAAAATCTACATGATATGTTTTATGTTTGGTTATAGATTGAAATATATAGTAAACTGAATGGAGTTCTCATTCAGAATAATAAGTCCTTAAAATAGTTAAAGCAGTACTACAGAACACAGATTATTTCACTGAGAATAAACACATGGCTCCTAGATCTGAAAAACAAAAGAAAAAAAAATACAAGGTGTCCCTGAAAAATCCCAAAAGTGTCTTTAGTATAAGTGTAAAAGTTTCAGAGGGAAGGATTTTCTTCTCTCATTTTAGATGAAATGATAAAGGAATAGTACTCTAAAGATTCAGCAAACCTCTGAAAAATTAAATAAAAAATTTAAATTATGGGGGCACCTGGGTGGCTCAGTCGTTAAGCGTCTGCCTTCAGCTCAGGTCATGATCCCAGGGTCCTGGGATCAAGCCCCGCATCCGGCTCCCTGTTCGGCGGGAAGCCTGCTTCTCCCTCTCCCACTCCCCCTGCTTGTGTTCCCTCTCTCGCTTTGTCTCTCTCTGTCAAATAAATAAACAAAATCTTAAAAAAAATATATTTAAATTATGTAGTGATCCAATTTATATATATACATACTTATACAGTATATATTATGCATAAAACAAATATTTATATACATTATAAATAGGGTGGTTATTTGTCAAAATGCTGTGATTATCTTCCAGTTATCTTTTTCTTTACTCATTCTACTATGCATATGTATTTGCATATTTAAAGTAAAAATGTCAGTAACAAAGAGCCCTTAAAAGACTCAAATGGTGACCTTATCAAGTATAGATGTGGGCCAGAAAATACACTACTATAGTAAGTCAGTGGTTAACACCCATCTCTAAAATAGGCTTAGCATTTGTCTTATCCTGCCTGTTCATCTTCGTCTCCATACTCAGATATAACCATTTGGCTGGAGGGAGTTAGGAGCTGAAATGCCAGTGCCCTTGTGCCACCCCCTAGAAACGGATTTAATTACTCTGGGGTATATAGCCTGGCTAATGGGACTCTTTTAAGTTCTCCAGGTTAGTCAATGTACAGCGAAAGAAGGATGAGAACCTCTGTTTTATAGGAAACTTAAAAAAAAAAAAACTCAGGGGCGCCTGGGTGGCTCAGTCGTTAAGCGGCTGCCTTCGGCTCAGGTCATGATCCCAGGGTCCTGGGATCGAGCCCCGCATCCGGCTCCCTGCTCTGTGGGGAGCCTGCTTCTGCCTCTCACACTCCCCTTGCTTGTGTTCCCTCTCTCGCTGTGTCTCTCTCTGTCAAATAAACAAATAAAATCTTTTAAAAAAAAAAAAAACTCATTTATTTTTCAGTCTGTTAATTTGTATTCTGTTGAAACTGTTACTACCTGTACAAAACTTGTGTTGAACGAATTACATTATTTTCAACTGTTTTCTTAAATAAGCTACGTTTTAATGTCCAGCCTGCCACTGAGTTAATTGGGTAACATGATGGACTGTTGTATTCTGCCTCTATCTTTTCCTCCCTCCAGTCTGTCTTCCATGCTGTCCAAATGGTTAATTTTCTAAAGCATAAAATAATTATATCACTGCCATGCATAAAAGACTTTAATTATCCATTCTTTACAGATTAAAGTATAAGTTTCTTAGTTGGCCCCAACTTGTTTTATCTTCTGTTAGTTCAAAACTAGAGATCCTGAACTCCATGTGTACTGACCATTCCTTGAACAGTCCTTTTATTTCATACCTGCCTTCACATATGCTATGTCCTTTATCACTAATTTCGATCATTGTTCAAGAGTAGGTTCAGAAACATTTATTGGAATGGAGCGAAAGTAGCATTTATTATTGAGCATACTAGCCAAGGACTGTGGGGTTTTTTTACTGTAACTTAACACCTATTCTGAAGTTCATATATGAGCAAAATTTCCTACATTTTCACTCTCCCACAAATTGGCTGCATCTATTTTATACATAATTTATACAGAGATTTAAGTGTATTCAACCATAAAATTCAGTCAAGTAATTTCCTGCCCATGTGAAAGGGAAAATTGAAAGGCTCATACATGTAGATAACTTTCATAGTACAAAGTGCAGCCTGTGAAAACTTAACAGTCTCTGTGTGGATAAATGTTACAGTTTAACAAGAAGTTAGTTTAGGCAATGTTAAAAATTTGAGATTTTTTTTTTTGTCTATTAAGATAAATTTGGTAAAATGTAATTTAGTTTGTTCTTTTATATATGCTTCCTAGGTTTTCTTAGTGTTGCTAATTGTGTTTTTTAACTGATGTTTTACAATCTTAATTTGATAATTTTTTTCTTCCATTAGAATGTGAAACATGGTGCAGAAACATTCAAGAAGTGGCTGAAGGGAGAAGGAAAAAAGTGCCACTGCCTATCAGAAAAAAACAAAAGAAAACATGGGAAATACAACCACCAAATTCCGTAAAGCACTCATCAATGGTGATGAAAATCTGGCCTGCCAAATTTATGAAAACAACCCTCAGCTGAAAGAATCCCTTGATCCAAATACATCTTACGGAGAGCCCTACCAGCACAATACTCCATTACACTATGCTGCTAGACATGGAATGAATAGAATACTAGGGTAAGTATTATTCTAAACCAGTTAATAATAAATTAGTGAAAGGGAAAAAAATCCTTGATCTTTGAAAATATATACATACATATGTGCATGTTATATGGTATTATAGTGAATTATATCCACTTTTTTTTTTAAGATTGATTTATTTATTTTAGAGAGAGCTCAAGACAGGCCCTCAAGTGGAGGGGGGAACTCAAGCAGACTCCACCTAGTGCGGAGCCCAACATGGGGCTCTGTCTCACAACCTGAGATCACAACCTGAGCCAAAACCAAGAGTCGGATGCTTAACCGACTGTGCCACCCAGGCGCCCCAGTGAATTATTAAGTATGATTTTTTTTATTATGCCTAAATTAGACCAAAAGTTTTAATAGTAAGGTTGGTTCACATAGTCTTATGGCTGTAAATACATTTTGATCCTCAGTATGTTTCATAATATGATATCTTGGAAATATTTTAGTGTTTAATTTATAGCATTTGAATTCTAGAAAAGTACTTATCAGCTATCAAAAAATTGCAGGGAATTTTGCCTACAGCGAAGTTTTCAGCTCCAATTAGTTTAAGTTGAAAAAACAGATGTATTTGCCTTATCTAATCATGATCGGGTTTGAGTTTCCTTTCTTTTAATGGGGTTCAGCTACTTGAAAAGACTTCTAAAAGCAAAACATTTCCTTAAAACCAAAAATACTGAGAAAACTTAGAATCTCTCCAACAAGAAAGCATTAGTTGACAGCAAACACGTTTATATGAAGATTCTTACCTCATTGCATGAGAATTAAATTTTATGTTTACTAGCTTATAAAATGACAGGAGCAGAGGATAGTAGTTCTAAAACAAATTTAGTGTTTTAAGAAGTAGATTATGCAGCTGTAAAAGTCTGATGCTGGAAGAGAAGAGACATTCCTTTGCTTACATAGTGAAATAAAATTCATAAAGCAGTATTTGAAGCTCTTTAGAACTTGATAAAAAATGTTCAACCTTTTCCATATTTCTTTTAATACAAATTGTTGTTCAAATTAAGCTGCTCCTTTCGGTTTCTTTGAAACATGTCATGTATGCTCTTTTTGCCATGTGCATGCTGCTATCTCTGCCAGGAGTCTCCTCCCCCACCCCTCTCAGCTTTCTCTTTCTTATCTAAGTCTTATCCTTCCTTCAAAGCCCTGTGCAGGATTTATCTGTCTTCCTAGCCTGTCACAACCCAAAAGAACCTCAATCTTTCTTTTTAGCTTCTGTGGCTTTTTTTGTTTGTATGTATTACTTATTTGCTATATACTATATCATTGTGCTTTATAACTTTGTGTATCTTCTCTCTACCTAAATTACTACTTTTTAAAAATGTACCTTTTTTGTACTTCTAGCATCTAGCATAGTGTCTTACACAAAGTAAATAACAGTTTTATAAAATCATTGCACAAGAAAATATTTTATGATCAGGATTTGTGAATGAGAAAAATTCCATGAATGAGCTAAGTCATCCAGACCCATGATTTTATCAAGTAGGAATCTCTGTAACCTCTTAAAAATAAAGTAGGTAGGGTGCCTGGGTGGCTCAGTTGGTTGGGCAACTGCCTTTGGCTCGGGTCATGATTCTGGAGTCCCTGGATCGAGTCCCGCGTCGGGCTCCCTGCTCGGCGGGGGGTCTGCTTCTCCCTCTAACCCTTCCCCTCTCATGCTCTCTGTCTCCCATTCTCTCTCTCAGATAAATAAATAAAAATCTTAAAAAAAAAAAAAAGTAGGTATTTCTTGACTTAGTATTTCCATAACCTCTCCTTTTTGCATTTAGTTTTTGTTTTCATTTCTCTAAAGATACCTACTTAAAAGCCACCTCCAACTCATCTTGTTTGAAATTTTTTATATTTTTTCTTCCCAAACTGGGTTTTCCCTATGTTAACAACACTAACATATTGTGCTGATATGATAATTGCAAATGTGTGAGTGCTTACTGTTTTCTAGGCACTATTAACAGTGTCTACATGCATTATCTTATTTAATCCTCATCACAACTCTGTGAGGTAGTTTGCTGTCTGCATTTTAGAGGTGAGAAAACTGAAGCACAGAAAATTAAGCCACTTGTCAGATCTCTAGCAGCTTTTAAGTGACAAAGCTAATTGCCCAGGCAGATGACTTTAGGCTTTAGGCTTTTTAACCACTGTGATAGCCTCTTCTCTCTATGGTCAGATAAACCTGTGTGTCAGGGCTGCCTAAGCCACTTATTAGCAAGGCAAGTTATTTTATCACTCTGGGCTTAAGTTCCCGTATCTGTAAAATAGATATCTATTACATACAGCTTGTGGAACGATTAAATTAATTAATGTGTTATATGTCTGTCATGCTGCCTAAGATACAATATGTACTCAGTAATGTTATTGCTTCTCATTTCTGTAACCTTAAATATCTTCAAATTGTCCTTGACTTACTCTTCTCCTTTACCTAACCTGCTACTAATACAAAGTTCACTAAGTTTTATCTCTGGAATTCACTTCTTTCCATTCTCATTGCCCCAAGCTTAGCTCACTCTTATCAACCTGTGCTCCCAACATTGAAAATATCTGATTCCTGAATGTTCTTTTTCCAACCATTTTCCTCTCATAATCTCATATCCAGATTAATCTTGCTCAGTAATATCCTTTTTAATATTTTTTCTATCATGGCAAAACTGTAACAATACCCTATTGTCTGTATTATTCTGTTTGGCCTCTAATGCTCCCTTGACCTTGCCCTGATTCTACCCAGTCAGCCCAATTTCTCATTACTCTCTAAGAAGCTCTTATCAGTGAGACTTGTTGATTGACTTCCTTTGTGCTCTCCCCACCTTTAGAAATGCCACCACCACTGCGTTAGTTTTATTCCTGTTGCTCCTTGATTCTCAAATGTCTTCTTTCTTCTCTGATTCCCTCTCCTTTAAATCCTAACTTGGTTTCTGCCTTTTTCATGAATTTACCTACAACTACTCTGACCTGCAGTATTTTTTTGTTTTCTGAAATTCCTACAACTTAGATTTTAAACCATCTTATTGTTATTAAACTCATTTTCTCCACTCGATTGTAAAGATTGTAAATACAATGCTAGACACTTAGTAATGTTCTCAATAGATTAACTATTGAATGCTTAATCCATTAAAGCTTTTTTTTTAAGTTGAGTATTGTCAGTGAGATTACAGAACTGTTGTATTGCTTTAGCTTCCTCACATTGAACGCTACAGTATTATTTAGTATCAGGTCTTGTTATATGATTAATTAAAACTTGCTTGAAATACTAAAGTAAAATATATTTAAGTATTATTATTACTAAGATAATATGTATATATATATATTTTTTTTTTTTAATTTTATTTATTTATTTGACAGAGACACAGTGAGAGAGGGAACACAGGCAGGGGGAGTGGGAGAGGGAGAGGGAGAGAGAGAGAGAATGAGAGAGAGCACATGAGAGGGGGGAGGGTCGGAGGGAGAAGCAGACTCCCCGCAGAGCAGGGAGCCCAATGCGGGGCTCGATCCCAGGACCCTGGGATCATGACCTGAGCCGAAGGCAGACGCTTAACGACTGAGCCACCCAGGCGCCCCGATGATATGTGTATTTTAACATAAAAGAAACCAAGTAGCAAAATGTTTTTAACCATTTATAGTATAATTTACAAATATACTTTCTAAAATTGGAAAACACTATTAAGAAAGTTATCTAATGCAGTGATTCTTAAAGTATGTCTGAGGACTCCTAGATCCTGAGATGCTTTTAGGAGGTACATGAAGTCAAACCTATTTTTGTACTAATACTGAGGTATTACTTGCCTTTTTCACTGTGTTGACATTTGCAGTGAAAGTGCAAAAAATGGAAGCTAAAACTACTGATGCCTGTAGATGAATTAAGATTGTGGTACCCAGCCTTCCTAGTAATCATTGTATTCATCACTGCCGGCCACTTGCAGTTTAAAAAAAAAAAAAAGGCCAGTTTCACTTAAAAGTATCCCTGATGAAGCAGTAAAAGTTATATCTTTTAATAAAAGTTACTATTTTTAATTAATCTCCATCCTTGAGTACAGTACAAAAAAAGTTCATTGATGTGATTTCAGTTTTTACATCGCAAGTAACCTGAGAAATGGCCACTTGTTGAATTTTTGGTATAGTATCGAATACGACTATTCATTTAGCTGAAAAGGCATTTTATTTTATTTTATTTTTTTTTTTTAAGATTTTATTTATTTATTTGAGAGAGAGAGAATGAGAGAGAGCACATGAGAGGGGGGAGGGTCGGAGGGAGAAGCAGACTCCCTGCAGAGCAGGGAGCCCGATGCGGGACTCGATCCAGGGACTCCAGGATCATGACCTGAGCCAAAGGCAGTCGCCCAACCAACTGAGCCACCCAGGCGCCCTGAAAAGGCATTTTAGAATACTACTTCTTTTTCTATCTATATAGAGGCTGGATTTTCTTCATATGCTTTGAACCAAAACGACATATCACAACAGATAGAATGCTATGAGAATTCGTCTTCTATTAGCTAGACATGAAAAGAAATTTTTAAATGTGTAAAACAGTGCAATTCCTCTCACTTAATTTTTTTTTAAGTGTAGTGTTTTTTTTTTTTTCCATTTTAACATGTCAAGAATATTTAATATGTAATGGGGTCTTTTTATGAATAAGTATTTTTTAAATGTCTGTTTTACTTTTTAATACAAACATAAATATACATAACCCACATAAACAAAAGCTCTTAGGAAACTTCACTGATTTTTAAAGTTGTAAGAGACCAGGGGTGCCTGCGTGGCTCAGTCGTTAAGCTTCTGCCTTTGGCTCAGGTCATGATCCCAGGCCTGGTCCTGGGTTCGAGCCCCGCTTCGGGCTCCCTGCTCCGCGGGAAGCCTGCTTCTCCCACTCCCACTCCCCCTGCTTGCGTTTCTGCTCTCACTATCTCTCTCTCTCTCTCTGTCAAATAAATAAAATATTTTTTTAAAAAATAAATAAATAAATAAAAATAAAGTTGTAAGAAACCTGTGACCAAAAAGTTTAA